CAGAAAGATGTCAACTATGTTTAGCAAATACTATAATTAAAACCAACAGTGGGAGGGCTGCAGAGATGGCTCAGCTGTTAAAGAACACTTGTACTCTTGCAGAGGACTGGAGTTTGGGTCCCAGCACCCACATTGTACAGCTTACTACTGCTGGTAACCCCAACTCCAGGGGTTCTTACAGAGGCACACACACAGAAAGAGAGAGAGACAGGTAGAGAAAGGAGAGAGACAGAGACATAAAGTAGAATAGGAGTAGATTTGGGAAATATTTACAAGGAGGCCAAACTGTAAGGGATGAAAGCATTTTATAAAATGGGTAGTTCTTGTAAACTAACAAGGCAGGTTTTAAGAAAGAATAGAATTGAACAAGTAACTCATGAATAAACACAGGAAGCCCCTTAAAATTCGTCAGGAGGCGGGGAAATACACCAACAAGGTCTTTGCTCATGCTTGCTAGGTTGCAAAATTTCAAATGAACCCCAAGTTTAGTTTTGCCTTGGGAGGAAGTCGTAAGCAGGAGTGAGTTCTTAGACAGTGGCTGGTGTGACCGCAAAGTGTTGAAGTGTTTGGGAAAGTGGGATGGTAACATCTGTGTGTGTGCGAGTACGTATGTGTGTGTGTGTGTGTGTGTGTGTGTGTGTGTGTGTGTGTGTGTATTTCAGAAGTCATTGGATCTTCTGGAGCTTGGTGCTGGACACCCTGTTTCTTACCTTGCTATGTCCCAGATGCATGAGGCCAACAAAGCTTTTGTGCCATTTGCAATCAGCCTGCCTCCTGTGCACACCAAATGTGGGATGTAGTTTTGCCCTGCCTCTCCTCACAGGCCCCAGGGCACTCTCCATCTCTTTTTCTCATGAGGGGAAGCACAGACAAGCTTTTGCTAGAATGGCAAGATGCCAGTGTGTCTCCTGAGTGGGCTTGCAAATCAGTGCAGTCTTTGGAGAGCTGCGTGTGTGATCACTGCTTGAGCCAGTGTGTCACACGTGCAATGAACAGATGTGGCTGCATTATTCAGCTTCCTTCTTTGACTTCCCTGCTTGAGTGTATGTTTAAAAATGTGGTGTCGAGGGAGGGGCTTAGGAGAAGAAGAGGCAGGGAGGATGGGATTGGGAAGGGAGGGGGAGGGGCTACAGCTGGCTACAAAGTGAATAAACTGTAATTAATAAATAAAATAAAAAGTAAATAAGATGTGGTGTCGATGAATGCTCCTCCCCCAGGGAATATAATCCACCACCATCAGGACTGGCTCCCAAATTTGGATGTTCCAAGAAGGAGTTTCAAATGCTTAGGTTAATCACTTGTTATGGATTCCTGTGGAGTGCTCGGCCCAAAATGTTATGACGAATGTGTCGCTTCAAAATTTTCTTGCTAAAGATGAAATAATTGCTAATTATATCACCCGTGAAATTTACATAAATGTCAGAAGACAGAGTGCTGTAGTAGGAATGTGTTTGTTTAACTCAACTCTTTCTTTCTTTCTTTCTTTTTTTTTTTTTTTTACCCATCGTGTGAAATGTGGTATTTATACGATGCGCACAAAGCCTTTCTGCGTGGTTTGTAGAAGGGCTGTCGCCATGAGCATCTGTATTACCACTACGTAGAGATGAAGCACAATAGAGCTGGCTCCTGGGGCTCTGTGGTGTCCTTCCTCCTTCCTGGAGTGTAGCCTAGAGCAGTTGGCTCCTTTTGCTTAGAGTTCGCCTATGTGTATCCACTCCTGACAATGTGTGTGTGTGTGTCGGAGGGGTTGTATAAGAATGGCCACCAAGAGCAGAGGCTGTCTCTGACATGGACTCTGTTGAATGCTCCTGAACCACTCCCCCCTGGCGGGGTGGCCTTCCCAGGCCACCGAGGAAGAGGATGCAGCCAGTCCTAATGGAACTTGATAAGGAGGGGTCAGTTGGTAGAGGAGGAGGGCTCCCCCTTCCTGAGGACTACTGGAGGGAGGATCGTGAAAGAGGGAGGGAGGATGGGACCGGGATGAGATGAGGGAGTGGGCTATGATTTGGATGTAAAGTGAATAAATTAAAAAAATAAATAACCTCTTTGCCCCATCTACTGCGAGAATGAAGACCATTCCCAGCAGTCAGACGGCCGACATCCCAGAAGACGTAGGCATCAGGCCGAAGGGGCGCACAGGCACCGTGAAGGGCCCTGGGGAACCCTGCGCTGGGACTTCAGTCAGTGCAGAGCTGAGTCTTCCCTTGAACTTAACGGTGTAGCTGAAGATGGTCAAACTGCTGGGCCTCCGGCCTCTACCTCCCAAGGGGTGGGATTACGGGAGCGTGCCACCATGCTCAGCCTAGGCGATGCTGGGGCTAAAACTCAGGCCTCCACGCATGCTGGGTGAACATCGCAAGCCTTCATTTGAACTCTCTTACATGCCTCTCGGGCTTCATACACATAAACTCTACAGACAGCGTAGCAGAACGTTTTCTAAAACCTGATGCTTTGCCTTTATTTCGCCTTTAATCCCAGCACTTGGGAGGCAGAGATCTCTTTAAGTTTGAGGCCAGCCCGGTCTACACAGTGATCTCTAGGATAGCCAGAGGTATACATAGAAACTCTGTCTTGAAACCTCCCCTCTCACCCTCACCCCCCAAAAAAGGATGGCTCCATCTGGATACACTGAACCATTTGCTCTTTCTTTCCCCTTCCTGCCTCATCCTGTGTAGTTTTATAAAAGGAAATAAATCATTAAGAAAAAGTTGTTGAGTCACAGGCAGGTATTTCTTTGGGTTGTTTTTTCATTTGTTTGTTTGTTTGTTTTTGTTTTTTCTTTTCTGTTTTTTTGAGACAAGGTTTCTCCGTGTAGTCCTGGCGTTCTGGATTTGCTTTATAGACCAGGCTGGCCTCAAACTCACAGAGATCCACCTGTCTGCCTCCTGAGTGCTGGGATTAAAGATGTGGGTCAAGACGCCCGGACTGTTTTGTTTTGTTTTGTTGTTGTTGCTTCTTGGGCTGTGTTGGAGAGCAGGTAAGCTGTGAGCTGTGAGGAGCTGAGCCTCCGTCTACTTCAAGCTTGCTGTGTAATGAACAGAGCGTGCTTCTCTCTGGATTATTTTAGACCCTAACCCAGCTGATAGCCTACCACCCACTTCCACCATGTGCTGTGTGATAGAATTTGCTGCTTAGAACACAATTTATTTATTAGACCATTTGAGGTTTGCTGTCTGACAGACTGTGTTCCGGCTACTATGGCAGATGGTCACGGTTTAAACATTCAAGTTTTGAGAGGCGGGGGCTCTGCCTCCGAGCTGCCTGCATATCTGTGGTCTGCTAAGCGCACAGGTGCAGGTTCTCAAATAGGGAAGAGCTGAGAACCCAGGTCTCCCTGTCGCCTTCTAGAGCACTAACCCTAGCTAGGAGAGCTGAGTTCTCCTGACTAATCACTTTCCAAATATCACAGCAAAAAAGAAAATGCAGATTACATTTGGTTGGTTTGTTGGAAAGGTGCTGAGACCAATTAGCCTTCAGAATAAATCTGATTAGGGTAAAGAGTCTGGTGTCCAGGAGGCCATGATCAGGCCCTAAGGGAAGAGCATTTGGAGGATGGTATGTCACACTAGAGACAGCATGATGGTGTCTTGAGCAGGGGATTGAGAGAGGGTGGGGGGACTCTAGGCATTCTAAGAAAGATCATCAGGAGAGATAGCTTAAAGTAACAGAGATGGTACCAAATCCCTTTTGCTTCAAATTTTAAAAAATATGTTTATTTTTAATTTATGTGTATTCGTGTCTGTATCTTGTATATGAGCACAGAGTGTAGTGCCCACAGAGGCCAGAAGAAGGCATCAGAGTTTCTAAGCTGTAATTACAAATGGTTGTGAGCTGCCCAGCATGAGTGCTGGGAACCGAACTCAGGTGCCCTGCAGTATGTATGGGCTCTTAACCAGAGTCTGCAGAATCCCTTATACCATTTCCCCAAGGGGAGAGGAGCCCAGCCTTAGCTCAAAGGCATCAGAACTGTTCACTCCGAGTGGCAGAGTTGAGAAAGGACCTTAATTTACAAGTCCCGGCTACAGGCACAAGAGGTAGAGAGCAGGAGGGAAGAGAAAGAGAGGGAAAGGCAGGCAGGGGGTCTGTGACTAAGAACAGAGGCTCTGCCTTCACCACATTGCTGCCTTAAGTATTAACACGTGAGCCCTGAGAGATGCAGACATTCAGTCCGTGGGAAACTCTCTGAGATAGTTCAAGTTTTCCATTTACTTTTGCTGTGTTAGTGAAAGAACTGAATTGCATTTATTAGTTACTTATTTAAAAATTAAAATATCCACTGTCTGGCTTTCACTGTTACTGTTTGTAGGGTAGCAGAATTCTTCTGTGTTTGGCTTGGTGAGACAGATATGATGTGCGTGGCATAATTCCTTTCTACGATCTAGACTTCTTTTTAAAGGGAGCTGTAATGTCTTGGCCGACACACTGCTACACATAGGTAGGGGCTAATTAGGATTCTCCCCTAATGAACGTCAATAATGTACTAAAGAAGTGTTTTCCCTACATGGTTTTTAAATTGGTCAGAAAAAAACAGCAAGGAAATATGGGGAAATGGACTTAACTGTGAAATATATTGTCAGCGAGAATAACATGTCTAAAATGGCTCTTTCGTTTGAACTTATTTACATAGATTAACATCTGATCAGAGAAAATTAAGACATTTTTAATGTACTAATATAAATACTAATACATAGTGCTTAAGCTCAGCTTTAAGGCAGTTTTTACATTTAGTGCGTGTGTGTGTGTGTGTGTGTGTGTGTGTGTGTGTGTGTGTGTCCAAGTACCTGAGGTCAGAGGACAATTTGTTAAAGTCTGTTCCTTCTTTTGACCATGTGGGTCCCAGGGGGAGCAGAGTTGGAAGCTCCTTTACCTGCTGAGGCAATATAGTTCGAAAGCGTAATTTATAACAGCAAAACACTTTCTCCTTCTCATATAAGCTTTATTTAAATTTATGCATGATCCTCTGTGTAATTTTGGCTTCTGAATAAGACGACCATTACAGATAAAGAATAAGGTTTACTTTATTTATTTATTCATTTTGTGCATGGGTCTCTTTGACTCATCTGCCCTTTGGCTTCAGTCTTTTAGAGTTCAGTTCACATTTCACAAAGACTTTCTCCTGGGTGGGGTGAAGTTGTAGATCCTCCACATTTTCAGGGCAAAATGTCATTCTGAATAGAAAACAAACAAACAAACATGGTGTTTTGATGGGGCTTATTGGAGTGTCTCATCTTTTATCAAATACTAGTCCAGCTTTAAAATGCATACGATATGATTTTTTTTTTACCTTGGATTCTTGGGTTTGAATGTGTTTTTATAACTTCAGAGAAAAATAAAGCTTGAGTGGGTGAAAGCAATCCTCAGAGGGTCCTACACCGACACCCCAGGGGCTGGCTTCCTTGTTTTTTCTAGTAACAGCTCTTCAAAACCTTGAGGGTGAGGGGTGTTTCTCTCAGGACATTGCCTCTACTCCAGGACAGGCATCCACAGCTCCTCAACTTCCTGAGCAGGCCCAGTTTCCCAGGGTTCAGCCTTGCTAATTTGACCCTGCAGCCCCTGCCTTCTGCCTACTGATGCTGACACTAGCTCTCTTGGGGTATGTCTGCAGGAAACCAAACATCTGGTGCTTTGACCATTATTTTGGCATAAGAGTGCTGTTTATGCTAACTTCAAGTCTGTCTGTCTGTCTGTCTACCTATCTATCCTCTATCCTTTTACCTATTCATCTACCCACTTATCCTTCTATCCTTCCATGCATCCATCCATCCTCTGGTCTATCTATTGATCTACATGTCTACCCACCTATTTATTATCCATCTAGCTATCTGTCCATCCATCTACCCATCTCTCATCTATCTATCTATCTATCTATCTATCTATCTATCTATCTATCTATCTATCTACGTATCTGTCGATCTGATCTATTGTCACAGAGAATTTTTGTTTTTATATATATATTTTTTATTATACCTAAGGTAGAGTAAATCAGTCAGACTTTTTAAGTTAAGAAAATGTAATTTAAGATTATTTTTTTTCCCTAGGCCAGGATCTCATAGAGCTCAGGGTGCCCTCAAACTCACTATGGGCCAAGGATGACCTTGAACTCTCGATTCTCCTATGGCCTCCTCCTGATTCCTGGGATCCACAGGCATGGGCCACCCATGCCAACTTTTCATGGTGCCTGGGATCAAGCTTAGCGCTTCATGCATACAAGGCAAGCGCTTTACCCACGAGCTACAGCCCCAACCCCGTTCGTTGTTTTCGAGAGTGTTCTTTTTCTATATTTCTACCAACCAACTCTCATTACTCCTGTTTTTCTGTTCTTTCTCTTCATCTCACCACAAACCTCACTAGGATAGTTGGTTTGTTACTTGACACAAACCTAGACATATCTGGGAAGAGGGATTCTTAATTGAGAAAACGCCTCCATGAGTTTGGTATGTGGGCAAGCCTGCGGGGCATTTTCTGTATTGATGATCCATATGTGGGGGCACAGATCATTTGGGACAGAACCACCCTTGAGCAGTTGATTGTGGATGGGACAGGGAAGCAGGGTGAGCAAGCCAGTAGGTAGCACTCCTCTGCGGCTTCTGCTTCAGTGCCTGCCTCCAGAATTCTGCCTTGAGTTCCTGCCCTGGCCTCCCTTGTGAAGGACTGTTACCTGGAAGCATAAGGTGAAGTATACCCTGTCCTCCACCAGGTGCTTTTGGTCACGGTCTTTGTCACAGCAGTAGAGACCTAACTGAGACATGTCCCCTTGAGGCACAGGGCGAGTCACTTAACCTACTTTTTCTTTTATCCTTTGCATTTAGAAGAGTGGTTGAGAGTATAGGGTTTTGTGTTTGACTCTGGACTTTGGTTTACCAAAGGTACTAAACATTGGTCCTGTGAGACAGGCAGTGTGATTTCCATTTGTCCTACGGACTCCGGTCTTTCAAAGGTGGAGTTATTACCTGAGGCTATACAGCCGGTGAGCTATGAAATAGGACTGATCCAACACAGATTTTTTGAGTGACTCTGCCAGCCACGATGCTTAGCTCACTGCCTGTCTCCTGGGGATGCCGATGGTCCCTTTAAAGCCTGCAGCAACCAGTCCAGGTATCTACAACCCGAGTTACCTGTCTTTAGTTGTTCTATGCTACTCGATATACCTGGGATCGTGGTATTCAAAGTCCACAGATTGACACAGTAGCACCTTGGAACTTGTTGGAAATGAGGAATCCGGGGTCCCACTCAGGCCTGCTGAGGCAGGACTTGCATTCTGACAGATCTGGAGGTTCACTAAGACTGAAGAGACCTTTGGATGGCGCACACCATCAGCAAAGTTAATTTATCTTGCTTTCCCAATGACGTCCTGGGGTCTTATGCCGAAAGCCACAGCTCAGGAACTTGGAGGCAACCCCCCCAGGGTCATGTGGTACCCTATATGTGTAAACATATAGGGTATTTACAACTTGGAAAACTATAGAGGCTGTAGCTCCTGGGTTCCTACCCTCTTTTTGTTCCTTTATGTGTGTGCCATTTGTTCGTACGTGTGCATGCAGGTACAAGTGCACATGTGGAGGACAGAGAACCTCGAGCATCATTCTTCAGACACTGTCCATCGCGTTCTTTTGAGAGTGTCTCATTAATCTGGGGATGACAAGTTCATGCCACTTATGTGGGTCTTTGTGGTTATAGGGCTAGCGGGTGGTTGACTTGGCTATTTCCCGAGCTTCCTCCGCCCCTTTCAAGCATGTACATCCTATGACCCGGAGACAGGAACTTATGTTCTCCTATATTAATAACTCCTGTTGCAATTCTGCTAACCTGGGCTAGAGAAAATCAGACTGATGGATCCAAGACTGATGGAGGAAGGCACTACTTAAAACACTATACCACCAAGAGAGGGGCAGTGAATCTGACCCAAGCAAGGCAGATCTAGGCCCAAACTCTCGGTAGCTCATGTGAGATTAATGTTAAGTTCACTCTGTCCCCTGTCCCTTGCAGTTTGGGAGCTCACTAAGCCTTTTCCATCTTCTCTCTCCTTCTTCAGTGCCAGGAGGTGTGCATCCGTGTAGACAGCGGTGTGGTGTTTAGGGCAAGGCACATAGACCGCCACAGTGAACAGCCACCTAAGTGAGCACTATCTCTAGCTAAGAGAATACTGAGAGGGGCAGTGCTCAGAAGGGCTTGTGGGCCTAAGGGGTCCTCAAAGTCTTACAAGAATATCCAAGGGTGTGAGAAGGAGAAGCAGTTTAATTTTCTCAGAGTGATCACGTGGAGGTCATTTGACAGCTGTGAAGGATGCTTTCAGCAACACTATGATTTTGCATTCCCGGGAGATAAGATCTCACAGCACAGTTGCATAAGGGACTGGAGCCACGGGCAGGCTCCAGGCAGTGAAAACTGAAGCTGAGGGAGGCAGGAGGTTCAGAGGGGAGCAGCCTACTGTTTGCCATTTTTTTCTAAGCCAAAAGGGAAGTGGATTTCCTAGAAGGAAGGCGGGAGATAAGAGGTGAATTTCTTGAATACAGAGGACAGAGCTAGAAAAGGGCCTTTAGAAGCACAGAAGTTTCCTGCCACGGAGAACACAAAGCTACAGGAAAGTGTGGTTGCCATGGCAAAGTGTGTTGAGCATCCTTCATCTCTGCTAAGTCTGTAAGCACCACTGGACTATACTTCCTTTTCTTCTTTTCCTACTCCTACTTCCCAACCCTTTCTTGTCTCCAGAAACTTTGGGGCAAGGAGAGATGACACAAAATGTGGCATTTCTTAGGGGGTCACACTGTTCTTCTCAAGCTTCCTTGGGATTCTAGGTCTCTTCCAAGACACTGGGTCAGAAACTCTGCATGTGGGTTCAAGGACTCTGCATGTTTATAATAAACTTCCCCAGTGACTCTTTGACACCTAAGGCGAAAAAAGGGATGAAGGGAGAAAGGGAGGGAGAGACAAAGAAGGAGAAAGGGAAGAACAGAGAGACAGAGAGACACAGAATGACAGAGACAGAGAAACAAAGAGAAACAGAAAAAAAGAAGCAGACACAATTATCACAGAGAAAAAGAGACACACACAGACAGAGAAGTACATTAGAGTGACAGAGACAAAGAGAAAAAAACAAAGACACAGAGAGAAAAAGAGACACACAGAGAGACAGAGAGGGGGAGAGGGAAGGAGAGAGAGAGAAGAGATAAGGAAGAGCGAGGAGGGGGAGATTTGGGGGTTGCAGTCTCTGAGGCCTTTAAGCAAAGCAGAATGAATAGCTCCAAGCAGTCCTTTCCCAGTGCCCTGCCTGCACCCTGGGCTCTGTGAAGCCGCAGACTCCAGAGGAAGTAGCCGGTGATAGCCACAGATGGGAAGAAGCTGGCCAAGCCATCACAAGGCCTTAGTGTTCATCCTTCTCTTCCACCTTGGGCCAGGTGAACAAGGGAGGGCCCCATGTCTTCCCTGTGCCCATCACTAGGGCATCATGGTACCCACTTCCTGTGACTGAGGGGAGGCTGAGTTGGGAAGCCGCTTGGAACCTGTAGGCACAGAGTAAGATGTTGCTGTCACCTTTGCTGTGTCTCTCCAGCTTTGACCCAGATGGTCTTCAGAATGAGGCCTGAGTAGTGAGGTTCCATGCCCCATGGCATGATGGTCTGCACTGTGTTCCAGACGTTGGTCCATACCGCACTGTTTTCCCACTTGAACTTGATCACTATCAACTGGCCAATGTCTTTGTCCAGCGTGATAAGGAAGGAATAGGTTTTATTTCTGGCAATTCCTTCGCCCCTTGAAAATACAAAGGAAAGCAGTTAACTCAGCTTAACTGTAGCACCCAAGTGACACTGAGGCACACTTCAGGGTACCTGAGTCACTTTGGAGCATTTTTGTTGCATTTCCAATAGACAACATTGGCAGTAGGTATGACAGGCTACAAATGGTTTCCCCCAAAACAAAATCAGGAAACCATACTATTTTTTATACGATCACATCCAAAAGGATCTGGGATATTTTTGCTGTCAATCAATAGAGTTAACGTCTTTTAGCTTGGTGGGCTTGGGTGATGAATCTGTACATTCTCTGTGGCTTATTCACACAGACACCTCATACCATACTTTTTTTTTTTTTTTCTCCCCAGGAGAAGGACTCACTCAATCTAAACAAAACCATCCATTAACAGGAAAGAAAAAAAAAATAGGCAAGGATTCCACTGACCTCAGCAAGACTGAAGTACGCTGTGAGGAACCATTACTAGTTTTGCTTACTGGTCTCCAAAACCACACAGTACCCTACCATCGAAAGAGAGAAGCCAGCTCAGTGCCCTTTCTATGACCCAGAACAATCTCTTAGGAGAAATTATTCACAGTACAGAAGTAACACTGGGTCTCGGTGAGGCAAATTGCATGGAGAGTTCTCCGGTGTTGCTCATCTCAGCTCCTTCTGCCAAGCGTGGTAAAGATGGCATGGGTATCTACCCAGCTGCGGGGCTGTCAGCATCTGCCCCAAGGGTAAATCCCACAGCAGGCCCTCCCTGAACAGCACTGCAGTGAAAAGTGTCAAGATGGGGACAATCTTTAGGAAGCCAAGAGTTGTTCCTGGTCAGCTCACATCCCTTCCCCAGCGAGTCCATGAGGAGGGCTGAGATGCCAAAAAGAGTCCTAGTCATTTTCTGGCTGTGAAAGCTAGTGAGTCTCTGACTGAGGCATTGTGGGTCTGCTAGTGTGAGCAACTATGCCATGGGGCAGAGGTGAGAGTTGGAATGGTACTCCTGGATGACTGAGTTTGCACACCTGTGATGAGGGGAATCATTTCGGTTCTGTTTCTGGGCATGTTTTCCTGAACTCACCGGAAATGTGCTCAGGCGTCTTTGTGAGGACCCCTGTCCTCTCTCACACCTCCTCCCCTCCCAGGGCCTTGTCTGCATTGCACACCTCTGGCTTTTGTCTGCTCACAGGACAATTGCCCCATCACAGTCACAGAGTCCCTGCCCTGAGCTGGGTGAGCCCGAGCCTCCATGAGAACGATAGGATCGTATAAGTGTCCTGTTGACCAGCAGGTTTGGGGCAGCCACAGTGGGATGTGCCCATTGAGAAGTGGAGTCTGTCTGGAGCCTGTGACACAGAGAAACCAATGTGCCGTCACCACAGATGGGGCCACACTGCTACTTACAGTGTGATGGGAATTTTCTTCATTTCTCCTTTGGTTCCCAGCAGAGACATGGTAAAAGTGGGCTCCCCTGGCTTCTCAATTTGATTGGTGAACTGGATCTTGAACTGGTAATGATAAACTAGAGGCAGAGGAGGGAAGAAAGGGGCAGAGATGGGGAGGAGAAAAAAATTAAGTAAGACTTTTTTTTTTTTCGGTCTTATTTTGAGACAATGGTCTCATGTAGCCTAGGCTGGCCTTGAACTGGCTGTAGCTGAGGATGACCTTGAACTTCTGATCCTTCTGCTTCCCCTCCCTGAGTGCTAGGATCGTAGGCATGCTCCACCACACCTGGCTTATTCAGTGCTGGGGATCGAACCCAGGACTTTATACCTGCTAGGCCAGCTCTCTACCAACTAAGTACATGTTTCAAATGAAACACGATCTTGTTCTAAAGCCCGGGCTGGATTCAGACTCATGATCTTCCTGCTTCGGTCTCCACAGTACAATCCCCTGCCCAACTATTTATATCGGGATTACAAATTTAAATTCTTATTCTTTTTAAAAATTAAAAATGCAGAGGGGGAAGTTTAAATGGGATGTGGACAAAGTAAGAGGCAGGGGGTTGGCCTCTTGTGCTGCTCCAAGATGGAGTTGGGCGTATCCCTGAGCACTCATGGATTTCCCAGAGCTATAGATTTTCAGTTGAGCCTTCCACTATAGGGACGACTTGGTGTTGGCTGCATGTTCCGCCCCATGGTATGGTATTGGGGCTAGTGAGCAGAACCTTGGGTGTTTCACCAGGCGCCTTGCAGCTATATCTCATTTAGCCCTCACATCCATTGATACTCTTATTATTTCATTTTATGGAGGAATGTTCGGCACACAGGTTCGGTAACTTTCTGAATGTCACACAGTAGCATCTCAGAGATGTGAGCCCAGACGGCCTAGCTCCAGCAGCTGAACTTTTAAATGCTTATACTCCGGGAATGATAGCTCCCCTCTCAATAGCTGCTATACATCCCAAGAAAAAAGGTGAAATGTAAAAAGAGATTTAAATTTTTAAAAAGTCAGAATAATTACTTAACCAATAATATACCACGTCAGGATGTGATGGTGCACTCCTTTAATCCCAGCATTAGGGAGGCAGAGGAAGGAGAATCTCTGTGTGAGGCTAACCTGGTCTACATAGCAAGCTCCAGGATAGCCAGGACTACAGAGAGATCTTTTCTCGAAAATCCAATAAAACAAACATATAAATAAAAAGAAACCAGGAACACCTTAAGCAGTCAACACTGGCAAAATGATAACTCATTTCTGAGATGGGCTTTTGTTATGTTAGCCAGGCTAGCCTTGGGCTCCTGGACTCAGGTGATCCTCCTGCCTCAGCCTCTTGAGTAGCTGGGGAGACAGGAGCAGGTTGCTGCGCCCTGCCATTACAGTCTTGGTAACTGCCCAGGCTTTGCTGAATCACAGAGGCTGGGGCTTCTCCTGCAATGGCCTTAATTGTCTTCACATGGTTTCTCCAGTGCTGGCTTTATCTTCCTTGCACTGTCATCTTCTGAAGGAAGAAACTGAGGCTTCTAGGAAGTGGTGGGCATTGCTCACCTTCTTGTGACCAATGACTGAAGCTGGATAGTTGACTCTGAGATCTTGTGCCCAACCATTTGATTTACTCTTAGAAGCCATTAAAAGATACATTTTTTTCAAGAGCCAGCGAGAGAGCTGAAGAGATAGCTCAGGAGTTTAGAGCACGCATTGCTCTTGCAGAGGACCCAAGTTTGATTCTCAGTGCTCACAACTGCCTCTAACTCCAGGGATCCCACACCCTCTTCTGACCTCCATGGGTACCTGTAGGGGTACCCGTATGGGTGCTCACATACACCTCTGCACCTCCCCCCCAAGTTAAAAATAAAACAAACACTTTAAAAGACCTCTTCTCAAGCAATTTCACTTGATGAAAGAAATGAAAAGAAAGGAAAGCAAAAGTTAGAATCGCAGTGCATGAAACTGTCAATGGTCCAAAAGAGCAAACTGTCTTCAACAGGATGCGCGGGCATCCACATGTTCCCAGAGGTCACAGGAGTCCGGATATTGCCAGAACTTGTACCCACTTCCCCTGGAGAGGGCAGGGAGGTGGAGTTGATGCTTTGCTCCAAGATCCACACCTCCCACAGCAGTCTTTTAATTATTCTCTTACTGGGGAAAGTTGCTTTTCAGAACGTTTAAAAAGCAATCAAGAGAGCAAGAAGCTACAGAGCCCTGGCCTTGAAGGAGCTGGCACTGAGACCCGCCACCGTCTGCCATGTCTGGTGGGCTTCGGGGTGTGTATTCTAGCTCCCTGAGCACAGACTCAGGGGAGGGAATCTTGTCAGAGTAAAATCGCCACGAGAGGACCGAACTCATCCATGGCTGTGTAGTGGGTTCTTTGTCAGAAAGCCATAGAGAGGCACACAGCACTGAAGGCCCTCTCCCCCAGCTGCAAGAGGAAGAAGAAAACAAGCTTCTCTGGCATGGTACATCAAGCTACACCCCAATGCTAAGGGTCTTACCCACCTACCGCCTTGTTTTTTTAGTTCTCTTTTTCAATTTTGGTTTTCTGAGACAGGGTCTCATGTTGCCAGGCAGGTTTGAACTTGCTTTGTGTCAGCGGTTGGCCTTGAGCTTCTGATCCTTCTGCCTCTGCCTCCCAAGTGCTGGGATTACAGGTGTGCACCAACACATCAAGTTTATGCAGTAGAGGGCATCGAACCCAGGGGCTAGGTAAGCTCTCTTCCAACTAAGCCACATCCTCAACCCTCATTTTTGGTTCTCTTAGTGCTAGTTGGCTTGGGGCACCGGGGTGAAGCCAGGGACCTTCCTCTGCCCCTGCATGACCTGAAGCTGATTCAGCAGCAGCTGCACCATCCCAATCAGCATCAGCCACTCCTCCCCTCCTCCTAGCTCTTTGGGAATCTCTCAAGGTTCTTTCCTCTGCACGATGCCCCCCCCCCAATATCGTGTTCAGGTCATGCTGCAGTCTCTGCTGACTTCCTCTCTACTGACCTGCTCTTCGAAGAGCTTCCCTCCCCCACCCCCACAGAGCAGACAGCAGGGTCCTGTTTCTCAGGTGAGCCCTCCACTGATGATCCTGACCAATTTCAGACACGGGCACCAGGGCTTAGAGATCTACAGTTATCTAGATAGTGAAATGTGGAGCAGAACTCCAGGCCGGGAGTTCTGGTTACAAGAAGACCCTTCTCCTGTCACCCAGTGTTGGTGTCCTACAAGCTGTGTGTGCCCTTTGAAATAAACCAATGGCGAACGCTTGATCCCGAAGCAGCCCAGAGCGAAAGCGGTTGTCCCTACTGGTGACATCCATCTCAGGCTAACCCTAAAGCAGAGGCCTCCTTCCTGTCTCCTGAAGGTCCAGCCCTGACTAGGTGTGAGAATTTCTTATCCCTAAATTGGCTATGTGCTTTTGTCTCTTCTTTTCCTAAGTGCTCAATGGAAGGAGATGGAATGCATCTGGGAAGCTGCAGTTTGGGGATCTCTGTCTTATCAAGGCCTCTTGAGCTCACACAGCCTTCGAGGGCAAGCTGAGTAGCTACTGGGAGTGGGACTGGTCAGGAGGCAAGTAAGGCAGAAAGCCAGGAGGCCCAGGACTTGGAAGGCTGAGGCAGAAGGACCACAACCAGCTTAAAAATCCCAAACAGTTAAATTAAAATAATATAATACAATGAAGTGATAACAAAGGCTAGCAAGCGTGTGTGTGTGTGTGTGTGTGTGTGTGTGTGTGTGTGTGTGTGATGTGGCTGAATGAGCCATTCCCTGGGGAGCTCACAGCAGACCTGGCTGAGAGGGCTCCATCTCCTCCATGAGGATGGGCCCACCAGTGTTCAGAGAGCATTCCTGCCGACCCCGTGTCTACACTGGGACTCTGTATGGATGCAGTCACCTTTTGGAGAAATCTTGAAGTCAAATGAGCTCAACATGAAAAAGCCTTTCAGGTGGAGTTATGGCTCAGCAGGGAGAGGGCCTGTCTAGCATGTGTAGGTCTCTGGGTTCAGTCCTAGCCAAGAACTAATTATTGGCTCTTATTTGAATGTGTATAAGCATTTTTCTTAGATGCTGATAGAATTACAAAGATTAAAGGGGGAAGCATGGCTGCTTTGCTTGCTTACCTTATGATGTGTTTAATTGGGTTGTTAATAAAATGATTTGGCCAAAAAAAAAAATTACCCTGTGACTTCAAAAAGTCCAGATAAGCCTGTGTTCTGACAGGAAATGATTTCCCGTCTTGTAGATAAAAGGCCTGAAGGGATCTGCTGACCTGGAATGGGATGAGGTGACTCCCTTCAAGCAGAAGCCTGAGTTGAGTCCACACCATGAAAAACCTGGATCCTCTCATTCCTGTGGACTCTATTAGTGCCATTTATTAAAAGAAACCAACCCCCAAATGTTTCTCCTCATGGTAACCATCGTGAACACAGGTCTAGAATTTGTGAAAAGAAAATGATTTGTTTCCTGTCTTTTTTTGTCCACTGTGAAATGTTACTGTCTCCAGAAGTCTTACAACCCTCTCTGCAAATACCACAAAAGGCTTTACTATTTGGGTGTGGGTTTCACCACACTGAGATGTAGAAATGAGCTCTCCAGTGCTTTCCTGACACACCAAGGATTTGTTTCTATGCTTCAGGGAAACTGACCATTGGAGAACTGAAGGCACAAGGATGATGTGGTCCTGAGTGCCGAGGCAGGGGACAGCCCAGAGGGATGGGATTCACTGACCCAGAGCAGGGCAAGGAAAGAAAAGAGGGGCAAGGGACTTTGTAAGTGTGTGTGGGGGGGGCGGTATGTGCTTGTTCTGGAAGCCGCATCTAAGGTCAGGACTTAGGGCCCCATTGCTTGATGCCCAGACGCAACAAGACTGGACACCTGCCCTTCTCGGGGTGGCTCTCCGTGTGTCGTGAGCGGCCGAAGAAAGGAGAGGGACGCAGGAGTGAGTGCATGTCCGTGTGTGCGTGCGCGCATTTATGCATTTGTGGGTCGGGCAGCCGAGTATAAGTGTAGATGCATGCATGTCTCTTTGTCTTCATGTATGTAGTCACATGCATGCA